CGGAGGGGGGCCTCCGGTTTGTTCCCCCGATTCGAGACCCCCGAAGGCCGGGTGTTTCACGTAAATTCTCGGTTGTCCCTGAGGGGGGAAAGTGAACCTTCTTCCGGCCCGAGGGTGGGTGCCTCCGCAACAGGCAACAACACCTCGTGAGCTGGTCACTGGTCACAGATTAGTGAGCTCTCCTCCCGAGGCGCGCGCCTCCGCCGCCGTGGCAGTAGACGCCGCCGTACGCCGACGAGTGGATCTTGTTGCGCTCGATGAGCGGGAAGGCGTTGCGCTTGACCTCGATGTTCCACGAGCGGTGCGAGTGGATCTCGTTGTCGACGTAGTGCCCCTTGCCAAACTCGTACACCAGCAGGCCGACGGTGCGGCCGCCCCAGATCGAGTTCCCCTTGAGGACAGGGTTGCCGTGGTCCCAGACTCGCACCGCCGCCTTCCCGTTCTCGCGCATCTCGTTGCCCTCGTACGTCCCTCCGCCGCCCTTGTGCACCCACACGCCGCCGAGCTTGTGGCGGTGCAGCGTGTTGCCGCGCACGACCGGCGCAGCGTCGTCGACCGCCTCGACGCCGACGGTGTTCCGGAAGATGTCGTTCTCGAGGAGGGTCGGCGCCCCGCCGTCCTGCACGAAGACGCCGGTGCGGCGGTTGTTGTGCACGCGGTTGGCCTGCAGCAGCGGCGCCGCGTCCTGCCCCACAACCACCCCGTGGTGGAAGGAGTCGCGGATGTCGTTGTCCGTGAGCGTGCCTGCGAAGGAGCAAGGGTGAATGGCGCCGGAGACTGCGGGCCAGTGGCGCTCTCCTGCCGGCGGCGGTGAGCGCGCCTCTGCCCGACGAGTGCACCCAGACACACGCAACCTCGACCGCGCTCGGCTTGGAGTGCCCCTCCTTGACCTCCTCCCGCCGCTGCTCGCGCAGCGTGTTGCGCAGCAGCGTCGGGTCCGACGACTCGACGATCTGCACGCCCGCGTCCATGTTGTTGTACACCTCGTTCCCCTCCATCGTCCCCATGCCGCCGTCAAAGTAGAGCACGCCCGACTGCAGCCCGTCGTAGATCGCGTTGCGCCGCAGCGTCGGCGCGGCGCCCGACTCGACCGCCACGCCCGCCTGCGCGTTGGCGTAGATTGCGTTGCCCTCGAGCATCCCCCCCCCGCCCAGCAGCGCGTGCACGCCCGAGTCGGCGCCTGAGGGACGTGTCGTGGGCGTGTCGTGGGCGTGTCGTGGACGTGTCTTGGACGTGTCTTGGACGTGTCGTGGACGTGTCGTGGGCGTGTCGTGGGCGCGTCGTGGGCGTGTCGCGCACATTGAGGGCGGAAGAAGGAGAGGGGGGGGAGGGGAGGAAGGGGAGGGGAGGAAGGAGAGGGGAGGAAAGGAGAGGGACTGAGGGAGAGGGAAGGAAGGGGAGGGGAGGGCGAGGGGAGGGGAGGGCGAGGGAGGGGAGGGGAGGAAGGAGAGGGAAAGAGGGAGAGGGGAGGAAAGGAGGGGGGGGGGGGGGTGGAAAAGGGAAG